CGGGGGAAAAATTTAAAGGACGCATCAAAAATCAAAACCCCGTGTTTCGAGTTGCTGGTCCTGCAGCGAAAACTTGAACTCTAAAGCCGCCAAATGAAAGATTTATTGCAGCGTTTTTATCCGGTTTACAGCGGTTTCTTTTGCTTTTTATATCTGTTTTACGTCATTTTCTCTTCTCTAATCTTCTTTAAACAACCTTCACTATTTATGACGTTACATGTTCAAACAACGTTCACTTTTGACGCCCTGTCTCTAGACTATCGAAGGTATGGCTATGGAAGATGAAGGTTAACATAAGAGGGAGAAAGTGATTGTAGGGGAGAAGGGGACGAGCGGGAGGAAAGGGGGACTGCGGTTTCTGTAAACAATATCCCCCTTGCTTTTTACCCCGAAACAGTAGTTTGCCCCGTAAGCCACCTACGCCGAGCCCTGTATTTTATGATGCTGATTGGTTTCGAGCTAAAACAATCTGATTGCCTGATCACTTGCCATTGAGTGCACATGTCATTAAAGCACTCTTACAGCTCTGAAATTCTCATGCATGTGATCATCATGATTGAAAGCTGATTAGAAAGTGGCTTTCTTAGTCATGGCGATTTTCATCATTAACCGCTACCCTACGTAAATATTCATTTTTTGAACAGTGTATTCTCCTTTGGAATGGTCAAAGTACGCATTCCTAAACAAAGGATACAAATATCCAATGTTTATCATTCTCGTATCATTGTCGTTATCTTATTCGTACACTCTCTAGTAATATTCGATTTCGCAATATATCTGCACTGGAGCAGCTTCGTTTCCTCTGTAATGAAGTTTTCAAAAATCAAACAACTTGCAGAAGTTTCTTCAATTCTTCAAAGTTGAGCTGGAGACCAAAATTATTAGATTGGAAAGAATGTTTTTTATAGCAAAACAATAAGACGGATACCAAAAATATGTGAGAACAGTTGACTGCACGAAATCGCCCAGGCTGAACGCCCGCGAACGTGTCTGTTGCGGGCTAACATTGGCATTCGCGCGCATGAGTCATAGCGCCCGTACTCGGCAGCCGCGTTGCAGGCACGCTCGCCTGCGTTCAGTCTACAGCGATATGGGCGACTTCGTGCAGTCGACTTTACTATTTGATAGTGCAAAGGAAGCTGCAAACTCCATCCTCAGTGTTTTAAGTACCTTCCACATATGCCACTGTGTACTACAAATTTTCGAAACTTTTAAAATTTTGGCTTTGGATATGCCTTAATTCCTGGAGTTATCAATTTCAGCGGAAACCCAAAAAAGCGACATTCTTTACTTTCCAGCCTAATACGATATCGATCTGAGCTTTGATCTACTAATTATCAGACCCGATCTATCGCAGTCGTCATCTCGTCGTTATATGCATCATCGCTTGCGTTCCGCCACCCTTACGAATTCTAAACTAGTCTTATGCATCGATTGCTGCGCAAATGTCGGCAATCGCTATGTTTTGCACATTTTGCTTCTTTTTCACTTACCTCATTCCTGTCCGGACTAACTGACTACCTTCCACTATTTACTACCCGTTGTCAGTGATGTGACTCGTGCTAGTGGTTGCGAAATTTCCATTCATTGATAAGATAAGCAGCATTCTGTTTCTTACATGGAGTGCTTTTTAGGTAGCTTCTCGATTCTTCGACCCATTACTTTTGCGATTGGACCATAAAGCATTCAGATCATAATTTAAATGAGATTTTCGCGAGTAAAGAGATGAGAAAAATGAACGGTTTTTCCTTTCAACTTTCTTGAAAACTTTCTTAAATTTTTTTTGCTGCTCAAATTTGAGCCAATTCAGTGCATTTTATTTGAAAACCATTGCAGTTCTTTCTCCATTTCTTCTGGTCAAGGAAATTGAATTCGTCATTTTAAGAAGGAAAAAACTCCCACATATTAAACATATCCTTCTTCTTTATTTTTCTCTTTATATTATCAACCGCATTTGACAACTTTGTTCATTAGTCTAATTTAATATATCACCATATTTCCCAAAAATCATTTATAATCCTTACATAGTCCGAGCTAATGGACACTTCTTTATATTTTTATACGGTTTGTTGTGCTTTAGAATATTTGGTGGAGGTCAATTAGTCAATCACTATGATAGAATAGTGGCACGTTATAAGGCAAAAGTTACCCCTGGAAAGAATGAAGAATTTTCCTAACTCCATAAAATATTTTTTCCCAGCAAACTAGAAGGATTTTCTAAAATATCTATTTTTCAAAGATTGTGCAGCTTGTGGCTGCAGCTTTTCGATATATAAATGTCTCACACAGAAAATTAATTACCATTTTTTCGGATTTTGGCCAAATTTGCAGATACTACATTGCGTTACTGAAAAACTCAAAAATCTGGCTATTCCGTGGCGTTGGTACGACCGGAGATTTATGAGAAAAAGATTCCATATATGTATGCCAAATGTGAGATTTTTCCGAAGTCCTTGAAGTTTTCGAAAGGAAGAAAAATTATAATTATGTTACGTAACAAAACATGATCCACCGCACTTAAGAAAATGATCATGAATCTTCTATCTACGACAACGTAATCGCACTTGTGCTGATACATTAACACCAGCTGAGCCAATATCGGTCATAAGTTGATTATTACATCGATATAAATCTCGGTTTATTCTATCGTTGAATTTTTTGTTTGTTGAAAACGGTGTTCACACAAGTCTTTGCGAGAGCAAATGGATTGTGTGAGTTCATCACCGTCATGTTTACTTGACAAATAACTTTAAACAGCAAATTATCTTTTCACGCTTTGAATGAGTCATCAAGGTAAATAATCTAGTGTGGGGTGCGAATTCTCAAAAACTTTTTTGATTTTTCAAGAAGCAGTACACATTCAAAACAATTTGAAATCGGACGAAGCACTCCAAAAACAAGCTTGATTTGATTACAGAAAAGAGATAGAGTGTAGGGAAGGGTAAGTTTTTATAATTAGTGTCTGTTTACACGCTGTTACCAACATTTATAGTTAACCTAATTCTCATTTTGTAATGAATAATTCCTGGCTGCATTCTGTTGTAGAAACTCCATTTCCAACCAAAACGTGAGCAGGGAAGATAAGAATCATTAATCTTCCCGGTCTTCCTTTTTTACTAAACAAAGTTTTTCGCAGAACTAAATTTCCAAATTTACCATGCCCAGACCTCGATCGATCCTTTTGGGAAATTGCATTTGTTTAGTTGTTTTCGCTTTCGGAACGGAGAAAACTCCTCTGGGAGATACTTGGCTGTGTTCTGCAATCAAACAGACCCACGGAACTTTTCTTCTTTTCTTTTCTTTGGCTATATTTACTCTGTATTCTTGAGAGAAAACAACATATATGTATCAAGGTATTAGTCCATAACTACAGTTTCATACATTTTTATCATGGTCATTTTGGATTTGTGAAAAACTTCCATCCGCATACGTTTTTCTATTTTGTTAAGCGGTGTTGGTTTCTCAGTTTTTTATAGATATGACAATCGGCTAAAGAGTTTATCTAGGATGCTGTGAATAAGCTCTGATCTTGGACGCGCAGGCTCTTTCTGGTCTTAGAAAAATGCAAATTTTTCTCTTGAAATGAAACTCCAACAAAAGCCATATGCACAGCGAATTTAGGCTCAATTTATTCTATTAACTTAACAAAATGTTCTTATTTTTTCCACTTTTCAATTTTTTGGCAGTTGATTTTTACCTGCATTTGGTTCTGGTAAAGACAAAAGTTAGGATGCTGTTTTCGTTTTCTGATTGGTGAACTGTGAGCATTGCTCGATAATACGACAAAAAGCGCCTGTACAGGCACATCTGCAGCTGAGCAAATGTGCGAAAAATTGTCAAGAGATAGAAGAGAATCTCAAGCCTCATCCGTGCGAAAGTCCATCGGTCTTTCCACTTTTCTTTGATTCTCGTTCTTACAAGCCGTTTCAGTTTCACGACGCAACTCTGCGCTGTGAAACGGTGTCATAGGCCAAACGTACCGTTTTTTGGTGTTCCTGAAACCAGTCATGGTTTACATTTTCTGCGAAAAATCCGTTGCATCATGCGTAATGACTCAGCCATCATAGGACTGGATCGAAAACGTTTTACTCTTGTCCATCTTTTCCACGAGGTCTACCTCTTCCCCCCCCCCCTCCGAATATTTGAACAAAATTTCTCTATTTCTATCGACGAAAAAAATTGTATAAAAAAACTTTAGGCCGTTTCTAGGGTTATTTGGGTTTTTTTTTTCGTTTTCACCTTGACATTTTGAGTTTTATGGAATTTTTGAAGGGAACATCAAACGAATAGATTGCACTTTATGTCGTTGCTATGAATTCTGATTGTTTTGTTTATACCACGAGATTTTCTGCACCAGAAATAGTTCTTCGTATTATAACGACGTGTCGCTTTACAAAAAGAAAAAAAGAATTCGAAAAAATCAGGGTAAAGTTGATAACATTTAATTGTTGTGCACATTGTTTAACCTTAGGTTTGCAAGGCACAATTTTGGCATGATCTGCACTCCCTTTATAAGGATTTTACCTAATTGTATAGCTCTCAAAATCTCCAGTGTACTAAAATGAAAGTAGAATGAGAAAATTGTTGCTCAAAGAATCTTGATGACACATTATAAACATAATACCATCATTTTGATGACACATTGTAAACATAATACCATCAGCGATCAATCGAGAAATGATTCATTTGCCGTTGGCTACCAAACGCTCCTCTCCTCCTTCTCCATTCCACTTCCTCTCCTCATTTCTTCCGGATTTCTGGAAAACCTTGGAAATTCCATCTGTCATGTGGCCACATAATATGCACTCAATTAAGATGAAACGCATTTCTTCCCTAGTTTTACGTATGTTACAGCTTTCTATGGCATTATTTGACGGTATAATCCCGTAAGACGCAGTTTTTGGATATCTTGATTTTCTTTCTCAAATTCCTCTCTCGCCCCTTCATTCTCATCCATAACTATCGAACTCGGTGCTGCTATTCCGTAATTTCTTAAAAGTATGTACGTATTTAAGGAACTCACTTCAAAGATGTATAACGCTGGAAGGAGAGAAGGTAGGGATTTACTTTTTATGTCACACTGTTTAATCACAGTATGCTGCAGGGTCTAAATAAGGAAATTTATGTAGAACGAAGTTTGAATACTTTAATGATTTTTTTGTTATTTTTTTATTTGTAAAACTCTATATGACAATGTCATATTGAAAAAAGGTTAACAGTGTAGTACCGAAAAAAATTGCCATCTAATATAGCAAGATTTATGGTACAAGGTAATATATTCTATCAAAATAAGGCAAATTTGATAATAAATCATGCACAAACTTCTCACTAAACTAACTGTACAATTTCTTATGATCATCAAATGAGGAATATTTGAGAAAGTGCGCAATACAAATACTCTAAATGAGACTTTTGCGTCTTCTAATATGTAAAACTTAAGTTTTGAATCATTCCATAGCCAATCAGACGCCCATTTCTAAATATTCTGTAATCTTTTCGATGTCACTCAAAACATTTTGCTCCCTGTATATGTTAAGCTTGGAATTTGAATCTCAAAGTGTCGACAATATTGAAGCTATTTATAAATCAAATATTTAAAAAAGAGATCTAGTGACTTGTCATAGCACTCCGGAAAATTATCCGAAACTATAAGGTTGGCAATCCATCAGCGACCTTTGATTGATTCTCTGCCTGCACTGTTGGGAACCAAAAAGGTTCCAGCTATTGTAGCCTATTATTTCGTTGTTCAAGCTAGTTTGTTTTGTAGCACAACGAATCTTTTACAAGTTTGTGCCACCACACCTTATGAACATGGGGATGTGAAAGATGTCACTACCTTTAAAAGAAAAAATAGAATCATTAGCAGCATCTTCGATGCTAAACGTTTTTGAAAACCAAATTTGTTTTATGTGACACTCCTTTTCTTCTTATGTATGAGAAGTGAAGTCATTGACGGTTTGCAACCGTTATATTCTTATAGCTTGATGAAACAGACAGAAACTTTGTGGTCTAGAGAACTCAAGCATTGAAAACAGAAAAATGTCAGAATATACCCTTTTTTGATTTTCATTTGTTCTTTTATTTTTTATTTTCATTTCTAATTACTTACATGGCAGCCTATGGTATTTTGGCTTACTCAAAATCAGCAAATGATGGTTTATAAGTTCCACCCAAAGATTAGCAGGGAAGTTGAAGGAATCTAATAATGTTTGATAGTATCTATGACCCCTTCAAAATTATATCCATTTTTCTTGGATACTAAGGAACTGCTTTTCTTCTAGAATGTAACCAAAATGTCCTTTCAATGGCCCTTTTCTTTATATATTCTGACGCACCTCGCTGTTGATAGATAAACAAATAGAGTGTACGAATGAACCTGTTACCCCATCCTACCCAAAAACACAAAAATGCACAGAACTTGGATTATAGCGTAAATTTGAATTTGAAATAAGATTCTAGAGAAATGAAATTAAACTTATTGCATAGATAAATTAGTCTACTGACTCTAAAAACTCTTTAATATTTTCTAGTTTTGCCTGAAATGTCTAATTTGCAGAGGAGCAAAACCTGAACCAGTCCGGGCAACCGTTCTACAATCAGGGATATCCAGGAGGTGAGTCTGATTAGAATACTCTTTTCATCTTCTTATCGCTCCCTTGTTTTTTTAAATGTTCACAGCGCACATTGTTGTCATTGAAATCAAGCCCATCATGAAAATTTGTGATCGTTGCTATGGTGAACGACACTTGCATTTAGTGTACTTACATATATTGTCGTTAAATATCGTTCATAAGTCTCGATTCCGGTTAGGTTATTTCCGATTTCGATGTGAAACAACTAGTTTTACTATTCTTTTGCCCTTTGGGACCATTTTGCCTCATCATAAAGCGTCATAAAACAGGTCAAACGTCAACTTATCTAAACCTTTTATATCCGCCAACACTGAAAATAATTGACTTCTAAACGATATTCGCAGCTTCTAGAATGTTCAAATTTATGAGATTTACTTCGTCATCGTTCCGATCAAACCGCTTTACGACATGCCCTGACATTCCTCTGCCCTCGGAACCTCCGTCCGTTCACCTTGTTTCACTGTTGACTTGATGTTTGTTGCCTTGAGCTCCGTAAATATGCATGTGATGCCAACCTAGACACCATATGCGATCCTTCATCCTCTTCCTCTTCGACATAGTACTTCTCTAAAAATCCTAAAAAATTCTGACTTATTTCTCCAATCTAATGCATTCTCTCTGTCGATGCGAAGTTGCTGTGGGCGTCTGTCAGGTTTTCTTGCCCATAATGCTTTCTTTGGTGGCATTCGTGCAAAAGGCGCGTACATAGTCGGACATCTGAATAGGAAACTGTGCAATCACAGAACATACCGTCGATTCGTAGACCGCGCGGACTGCTCAAAGTTTGCGGACCACGTGCGGCGCAGCTGAATGGTGTGTGCATGCGCGTTGGGGAACCCAAACTTATGTGAATGAAAGCTGGGCTGAACTTGTTTCTGAATTAGCTGGCACCGTGCCAGCTGGGTGCCAGCTGGGTTGGCACCGACACTTTGCTCACGTGAGTTTTCATACTTTTTTACGTAAAATGTATCTGCACTGTAAAAGTACACGTATAGAGAAGAAACAATTGATGTTTTCTTTTCAGCATTTTATAGTCAGCTGAAAATAACCCGGTCTGCTCCGCAGTCGAAAAATCGGCTTTTTCTGCTTCTCAAATCAGCATGCATGAATACCCTACTACATACTTTTACATAATCTAAGCATAACGACGGGTCTTCAAAACAGGTCAAAGGGGACTTCCTACGAAATTTTCAAGATCAAACGTGATTTCGTTTTGAAATTTCCCTTGGCCAGTTCGTGCCGAGCCCCGTGCTTGCTTGTCTGTTCATTCCATCACTGCTAGGATCTTATCTTACTGTAAACAGTACAAAAAATGCTGCTCTGGTATAAGTGCACAAAAAACAATTTCGTTCCTATTTCCTATGATAGGCTCGTAATACAAGACCCATATTCTACTTGCAATCGTCTGTGCGTTACTTTTTCACGGGTCTATGCTTTTTTCAGTCAACGAGTGTCTCTAGCGCACGCCTATACTGCAGCCGGCAGGTTGCAGAAGTAGTGCAATTACACAAAACAATGCTAGAATGAGAACGTCTGTGTCCGTCAATGAAATGACATGCTTGATAATAAAAAAGCACATCAAAGCAATGTCATCGGCGGTTGAATGGAGTATCCAATTTTTTATTGAGGCGCTGGGGTTATGTCACGACGCATTCGCGATGACTCCGAGTTACGTTGCGCAATAGGCAGACAAGCAGACGACTCAGAAGCATCAGCCCTTTAACAACTTGCCTTTCTGTTTATTAAGTGACTTAGCTTTGGAACCGAGAGGAAATGAATGTTATATCTGGACATTATTTTCTTCGCCCCGATCACTGCGTTACAGCATATTATTACGATTGAAAATGCACTTCGCTCAAACCTCCACCCTCTCACCTCCACTGGGTGACGAGAACTCATAGCGCTGAAATTTATTTTCTGGGAATTTTCATGCTTTCACTGGGCAAAAACTGCTGCTATGGCCTCTATGCTTCTTCCATCCAGGAAAAACCATGCATTCTTTAATTTCACCATCGTAAATGTTTGTGTGCCGATATTAGCGGCACCCGTTTCATCCATATCGCTCGTAACGTTGTTTTTCGTGTAAGCACCGTTAAGGTCACCATTTGGTGACCTCATATGATATAAGCGTGAGCAAAGAATATTTTTGACTCCGCCTGTTATCACCACATATTCTACCACTGCACCACCGCGTGCGGTTGAGCTCTCAATAAACTCTCTAATATCATCTTTGTTGTGTTTTACATTCGTACGGGCCCACCCTTAGCCCATTTCTCAAGGCGCCACCCTTACGCCTAAAAGCCGCCACATTTTCTGCCGACTTTGTCGGCACTTTCTCACAACCGTGCCGTTACTCCAGCCCAAGTACCGTAAAGGTCATGCCATAAGCATGACCTGCTGTGATATGAGTATCTTATCGCCCAGATGTATGTAACATTGACTGGCCACGCCTGTATTCACCAGCATTCTACCATTGCACCCATGCGGGCATGTTGATTGACTCAATAAAGCTGCTGAACTACCTTGTCTACCAGCAGCTACACTGCTCCATCAAAGGCGCTATTTCCGCCTAAGGCACTGAAAGCCACGGAGCCACCACATTTATGGTGCATCGGCCAAATACGCAAGGCCCATCACTCGCCTCAGCTGCACGAAGGTTAGCTATTCTAACCTCGGGACTCAGCGCCCAAAATCCGCTGCTTCACACTCGCGACAGCCACTCTCTACCGCAATCCGGGACAAAATCTTCCCAATTTTTGCTAGAAAAGTAGCGAACGGCTCAAAAGCAGCCATATTTTTGCCATAATCGCAAATTTTTGCACCAAAAATGTCTCTAAGATTCTTCAAAGAGGCAATTTCATTTCACTCGGAAGCACTAGCAAAACTGCTCAAAGAATTCGAGCCTATTACCGATGTTAAATTCACTCTGCAGCACAATGACGGCTTGAAAAAGAAATGTTTCGAAAATTTAGATATTCTCCTTTTATCTCTATCGCAAGTCAAAGCGAGATCGACGATTTTGCAGTCAATAGTCGACAAATTTGAGGAATTTTATCTCACGCACTTCAAAAGCGAGAGAAAAACAATCATGCTTCAGCTACAAAAGCTTGAAAAGGAGGCTGGCTTCTATCAGTTGCTTTCCGATGCATATGTTTTTGTTTGTATTGTAGAACATCAAATCCTATACGCAGAAACATACAAAGGCAATTTTGAGATAAGCCAAGCAGTCAAAGAACGGCAATCCTGCCTGTTCAAAACCTTTCTACATGATGCGGAAAGAGAGATGGATACTCTCGCGATGATGAGCGAAGATTTCGCGACAATGGAAGAAGACGAGGAAGGCGAAGAGCGCTTCAATCAGCATTCTGAAGACCGCACAATTTTGGCTCGCGGAGATACCATGGATGGCAATATACCAGCAAAAGATGATATACCGACTTCGCAGGTCATCATGCCTGGAAGAGGTAAACGACGAAGCAATGATGAGATCGACAGGCACCCGATCGAAAACCCGCGACGAGGCAGTGACAGTAAGAAGAATTATCAGTATTATTCCCTTCACTTTCCATTTTTGCCGTTGATGAATTTGGATATACTAAGAAATCATCATTATCCACTATACTCTGCCTTACCACTTGCTTCTCTGCGATCTTATGCCAGCTGGCACGACTGCATTAACCAGCATCTCGCTCTCAATTACCAGGCTCCCCAGATACGTCCACTAAGGTATCCTGATAAATATTCGCTTGGTTTTCTTAGTTACAGTGTTTACATTTATGCTGCTCGTTTCGCTGTTTCTTATTTGTTCCCCTCGCTGGCGGGAGTGTGCCGACGTTGTCGGCACCTCCTTGCAACTTATCATTAGTTCTGCTAAACACCGTTAAGGTCATGCAATAAGCATGACCTGCTGCGATACGAGTGTATTGATGCCCAGATGTTTGTGATGCTACTTTACCACGCCTTCAATCACCAGCATTCTACCATTGCACGAATGGGTGCATGTCGTCTGTTCAATAAAGCTCTAACAGCTTACGTGTTCTAATAACACATTAGGAGCCACCATACTCCACTACAGGCGCCACCCATTCGCCTAAGGCTACAATAAAGCCTACAACCACCACAGTTTGGGTGATGACAAACATACACACCACACCGCTATCGATTGTGATGTTTTCGTCGTCGACGGGGAGTACTGGCATTGTCGCCGACCTCCGCGGCTCGCGTGCTGTTTCCACTCAGCTATCGCAACATCATCGTTCGCAGTCAACCAAGCCCCGTTCTCAGCCCCGTGGTTGAATCATCAATTTTGTTTTTTCGTTTTCTACCAATCTCTAAGTTGACAAAGTCGTTTCGCACAGGTTTGCAGGGTGGCAAAGAAGATCTTTTCCATTTCATCACACACTGCGCTGACTTTGCTCTCGCATAGCCGTTGCGCCTCTCCTCTGATTGTTTATCCGTCTCTCTTTCACTGATGCAGTTCTTAGCTTTGTTTAGTTATTGATCGCACAATGCGCGCCGCTCTGTACTTACTCTTTTTATTTTAAGTAGGCGAAACTTTTTTGAATGGCTAGTTGTTTCCATAGTAACGAGCTAAAGCTACTCGAGGTACAGTCAAAAGTAAAATCCCTTCTGCTCCAGTAAAAATGAGTTTGTAAATATTTTCATTAACGAGAACTATAGTTATTTTATGACTCAATTGCAGCTGCACACAACGCATTACACCTCACGACTTTTTGGTTGCAAACATTGAAATAATCATTTTAATAGAAACTGTTGAGGAGTGATCATATCTGTACTTGCTTATTATGCCAGAAAAAAAAAAGAAAACAGAATGAATTTCATTGAAACTTTTGCGTGCACAGGTCGTGGGATATTGCGCGTGTCGTGCATTACACAAGTTGAATTAAGAATGACTCGATGGTAAATAGTATGGTGCATCCCCAGAATTGTTCCCATATGAATCAACAATATGATTGTCTTT